GAAGAGAGGCGGATGGGAGGAGTTCATTTGTCCTTTGATATGGAAATGAAATGGCCAAGGCCTGTAATTCGGCCTGTTAGTTTCTATAATTTGCAAAATTGTGGGGAAAGGGCATATCTACAAGAGCTTAGACCTCAATTCGCCTTAATTCCCTTGGGTGTCAAAAGATAACCAAGGAATTTCCCGATCCCAAGTCCAACTGTGCACTTCGACAAATTCATCTTCGTGTTTTATTTTTTTAAAATTTCAACATTTTCTTTTTAAGTTTTTAATATGTTGTTCGAATGATTTAATCTTAACTAGGACATAATGTAGTCGACCCCACGTAATGCTATTAAGGCTTTGTTGTTGTTGTTGTTTAGGACATCATCAATGTAGTCCTAAATTTTTTTTTTATTATTATTATAAAAACTACATTCATCATTTATTGGTTGTCTCATATTTTTAAGCCCAAAAAACATTACATTATATCAATATATGTTATCTTTAGTAATGAGTGTTGTCTTCTCAGCTTCGGTGTGTTGCATCTTGATCTGATGATATTCAGAAAAACATCCAAGAATTTCATGACTGAGTGATGGACAACCGAGTCGACAAGCACATCGATTTACGATATGAGGTAACTATCCTTCGAGCAGTTTAAGTTAAGGCTACTAAGGTAAACTCACATTCTCCACTTGTCGTTCTATGTTGACACAATTACCACTTTAGCTGCCCATTTGGGGTAATACATTTCCGTGACATATTCCGCATCTAATAGCCTTCGCATTTTTTCATGAATTGGCTCTGCCAGCATGAGTGCTACCGATCACATCTTTTGTTTTACAAGTTAGAACCTCGAGTTGATGTTCAAATGGTGACAAGCGACATTGGCCGAAACTCTTAACTTCTCTTTAGCGAAATCAGGCAAATATAACACGATATTCCTACATCATGGCAATTAGTTCACCCTTGCACCCTGAGTCAAACGAAGTACTAAGTAGAAAAACTTTGCCAAAATTCTCTATGGCAAAGATCTGCTCATTGGACTCGTTAGTCTTCAAGCCGCTTCAACATTGGATATCTAACTACAATGCCTCTCGATCAACAGTAGTTTTAGCCCTCAAATTGCAAATGCATGATTGCTCCAAATCACCTCAAATGGTGATCACTTCTCCCCCAAAACTTCACCACGACATCATAGGTGAAAACAACAATCTTGAATGTGTTGAGGAGTCGGCCAAAAATTGTACGTTGCTAGTGAGCCGACTACGATGAAGTCAGTCAAGTTAATGAACTTTTTGTATCCTTCACCTCAAGTGATTGGAAGGACAACTCCCAGTGTTTCCTACTATTCGACCGAGAAGTCATAGTGATATGGATAAAGAAGGTAGCCGTGAGGTTTATAAATTCGTTTTATCAAAAACATAGTTATATAAAATATTAATGTAACTCCCTTGTCAATGAGGATGCTGACAATTTGATAGTTGAGGATCAAGGTCAAAACCACGATCACGTAATTTTAGGGGATCCCCTTGGTAGTTAAGTTCGTCTGAAAAGACAATTGACAACAGATGTGCGATTTGCCGTTGGGACAACATTGTCAAGCACAATTCTTCTAAGCGAAGCCTTCAGATTGGCATGAAGACAGGCCTCAATTCCATATCCACCAAGAATAGCCGAGACAACACCTACAATATGAATCTCCTAGGCACGAGTGGGTTCATTGTAGTCCTCTTCGGCTAGGGCTTTCCCTTTTCTTTGACATATTACTCCAGGTGCACAAACTCCTTCAGCATATATGCCTTTAAGTAGCTCCTCGATCAAGCTTCAAAGGCGATGACACTTCTCTATGCCATGCTCATAATCTCAGTAGTAAGCGTACAATCTTTTTTGGTCACACATATACCCACCCGCTTTCATGGGTGTGGGCTTGCGGAAATATTCCTTATTCTTGATAGTCTATATAATTTCGGTCATTGAGATCCTCAACAGAACCTGCTGGGGTGCATTATGAGTTGTGGGTGGAGACCTCCTCTCCAATTGACAATTCACCCGCCTCTCTTGATACCGAGCTCAACCTTGTAGAGGACGGATTCTTCTCTCTTGCATGTGGACCAACTCCAAGAACGGGCGAGGCCATTGCCCCTTGAACCTCGGTCACGTGACTAGTTGCATTTAGGTGTTCTGTTCTCCGACCGACTTTATAGAAGCTCATCTTCAACGAGTGTTCTTTCGGGAGTTTAGTTTGCACAAAGATGAACGTCAAATTATATCCTACTAATTATATCATAGGTAAGGGGATTGGATTTTGTTTTACATTTAATCCTGCCCTTTATAGCGGTTAATTTCTCAATATAAAATAAGTAGAAGGCATCATGGTGCATGGGTCTTTAAGGATATCTAGCCATCTTTGTTATCAAATCAGCGTTAAAGTACAGATCTTTCTGAAAATTTCCTCCAAAGTCAACCACTGTTCAATAGATCTTTGTCTTTGCATTATGTTACACTTACACATCATCATTTAGTCATTCATACTCGATCATTTATACTCGGTCGATGCATGTCAAAGTTGGCAATTTTGGGCCACTTTTGTCGTTCTAGCTTTTTGACAGGATCCTTTAGCAAGATTCGAGTTCTTGCTAGTTCACGTAGTTGCTATTAATTGTTCACAATAGGTATTTCATCTTTGTAAATATGTTGTGAAGCTTTAAGTAATAAAAAAATTAATTGCATGAATTGTAGTTTGTCAACTAAATAAAATATGCATGATATGTAAGAAGTTCTAAATGCAAATGCATAACAAATAAATTTAGTTACAAAAAGTAGAAAACTTTAGTCCCATAAAAATTGCTCCTTATTTTAGCAATTATAAATTCACCTTAGTTTTCAAGACAATTTATCAACGAGACTTTCCTCTAGGCTCGTCTCGAGCTCATCTTTTTATATGCACAGTCTTGAATCACATATTCATGATTTTGCCTCTAAAGAGCATAATGGTGGTAGGTCCTTCGACAAAATGTCTAGTCTTACTTCCTGGCATACTTAGCATGAAAGGTGTAGCCTAAGAGTCTGTTTGGGGCAGCTGCAGCTTATCTAGATAAGCATCTGATCCTGATAAGTTGTTGATCAGCAGCTACTCCGGATAAGCTAGCTGGCTATTTGGTTTGTCTGTTTAGAACATAGCTGATTTGCAGTTGTTTCTAGATAAATGATCATTATGTCCCTTATCTAGAAAAGTTGGCTTGTTGTTTAGTTTGTGCGTTTGGAAAACAGTTGATTTGCAGTTGTTTCTTAATAAATGACAATTTTGTCACTGTGCAGTTGTGTAGTTTGCAACAAAACTGTCATGACTATATATTTGATAGCTTAGAAACAAAAAAAATCACTTCATAACAGTACAAAATAAAAGATATACACCTCATTTAAGAGTGAGTATCAAAAAATCTTAAAAAATAGAAAAAAACATATTAAAATTACAATTAAAAGTATGATAATATTCATTTTAAAATGCAGAAGAAGCATGTCATGAGCGATGTTGTTCTGTAGGGATACCATCGAACCCCGATCACTATCACTAGCACCCAAGCACAAGCAACTACAACCAAAAGTAGAGACGTCGACCTCACACCCGTCTAGCCACCAACACCAATATCCAAGCACCAGCAACAACACCCAATGGTGGAGAGAAGAGACACACACACCAAGTGTACTAAAAAAAGATAAAAAGTATATAAATTCCACACACTCACCCAAGTGCCACCAACAAGCACATCACACACACACACACACATGCCACCACCAACCCACGTCACCCTCGGCCACCAACACAGCCTCCACCGCCACCAACACACACACAATCGCACACACTCAAATGCCACCAACAAGCCTCCACATGCCACCAACACAACCTCCACCACAACCAATACGCACACACTCGCCACAAACAAGCACATCACACACAGACACACGCACACACCCACGCACATGCCACCACAAACCCACAGACCCAAGCCCGTGCACAACACGCACCAAAGGCCACCAACAAGGACATCACGCACAGCCTCCAACACATCCTCCAGCCAAAGCAAACGTAGCATCGAAACAACCCTAAACAGCCTTTCAAAAAGGAGAATCGTGCAAAGCCTCATTCACCCAATTAACCTCAAAATTATCCTAAAAATGTAAAATATCTCAAAGGAATCTACAAAGAATATAGAAAACAACACATTATAGATAACTTATTGCAACCAAAAAATCCGTCAAGCAAAAAATCCTTTGCAGCCGAAAAAAATCCGCAACCGAGTATAGATCATTCATTGCAACCAAAAAATCCCGCAAAAAATATAGAAAACATCGCATTATAGATGTTCCAACCAGAAGTGAGCCAACTCACCAAGAAGTGAGCCAACTCACGAGCCAACTCACCAACAAGCAATCCAACGGGAGGCGAGGGGGAGAGGCGAGGGATGTTACCTAGGGCAAGAGCGTGATGATCAAACTACAGCAAGAGCGGTCGACCTAGAAGCAAGGGACGGTACTGCGATCAATTGACCTTGGGCAAGAAAGATCGAGCGAGGGAGGAGACTGACAGCAGAAGGGCGCGGGAGGAAATAATCCATCGCCTACTAAGGAAATGAAAACAGTGTTTCTCAATAAGCTTCCCAAACACACGAACCGAACGGTGCAGCGGCGTTTTCAAAATGCCGCCCGCACCTATAGGCTGTCCCAAACAGCTCCTAAATCTCAAGCAAGGAAAGGCAAAGCCAAAGTGGTGAATATTTGCACGATTGAAGTTAGAGGAGTGTTCAAGCTAATATACATTAAAAATAATTTGTATGATAGCTCTGTACGTCTTCCAAAGTGTTAAACATATCAATAAGGGGCAGCAATATGGGCAAGTTCCAATTCAGGCAACTGACATTTAACATTTTAATTTGAAAAATTCAAGCTTTCAATAGCAGATTTCCACAATAGCAAAATCATGAGTTACTGGAAGAGCTCAAAATATATTGAATTACCTCAAATATCAAAGAAAAGAAATTAAATAGTTGATTAGCTTCCTCCATCCCTCCAAGGAACCCACTGCAGCACTGCAAAAAAGAGTTTCTAGCAGGCACTACACGGCAGCCATGAGAATTCAACACCGAGTTATGAGAAAAAAACCTGCCAAGGATCTTAAATAGAACCCCACATTTCTCCCACAAAAAACTCATGTCAAACTCAAGAAACTGCAACATCATCAAACAACACCTCAGCAGCCATATAAATCCTTCTTTTGTGAATTGGGCTGTTGAACCAGAAGCGGCCATTGAATCAGAAGCAGAAACTCCTCCTAAAAGACCTCTTAGTAAAGCATATAAATTTTCAGACTGTCTGACCAATTCTTCAATGAGAACATTGGAAAACTCAATAAGATGACCTGACTTCATTTTTGCAAAGGCTGAATGAACGGATTTTAAACTCCCTTCTCTGCATTTTCCTTGCTCTTGCAACTTCCTTAGCAAGCAATATAAATTTTGAAGATCTTCCTCCATAGCAATTTGATCACTTCGATGAGCTGAATCATTTACACATGTGCTTAATGAATGACCAAATCCTTGTATTAAGAAAAAATAAGTAAACTTGTCAGGGAGTAAAACATGAAATAATATGCAAACAGGCAAACCAATAAGGGTGAACATCAAGAACTATAAAAAATCAAAGAAATAAAAAAACGAATTCATTTATTACAAAAAATCAGTAGTCCATTGAATTTTCAGTGGAATATGTCCGAGTAAGATGCGAGGTTAACCTGATACTCAACAAAGAAAATCTCCGGTGATTGCATATTTGAGTAGTTTAAGTTGACAAGAACGGTAAAGGGGGACCATGTCATTCTATTTTACCTTTTGGGGGAAAAGCAAAAGGAAATCTGCATAATGTTAATGAAATAATGCTCCAATTACCTTAAAATCGCCAGATCTAACTTGAGAAAGAAACACTTCTATACACTATACATGAGAAAAAGACTGAAAAGAAAAAGATGTTCTTTAATGGTTATTCTATGAAAATTTATTTACAGACTTTGGAGACTTTATAAAATCACTGAAATGGAAATGGGGGTGGAAAGAGGGTTGTGTGGTAAAATAAAAGACCTAAGCAAGAATTCTTATCAGAATCTTATAAGAATAAAGTTTGTAACTTCTCAAGTAGTGTTTGGCATTTTAAGAACGTGGTGATGGTTCAAGTAAGCTTTGTCATAATCAAAGTTTTATCATAGCATCAGACAGTTTTCAACTTCTAAAGATCAGAAACCCACTGTGAATAATAAAATATATCTTCTTTTATCTCTCTCATCTTCAGAGCTTTTCCTCTCAGCTATCTCACATATCCATTGTTTCAAAAAGAAGAAAAGAACAAAATTAAAACAAAACAAAAAAACTACATATTGGTTTTATGCCACCCAAGTCATTCCTATAGATGAACTTGATAACAAAGCCATAATAGCAGATGTACCAGACATTAGGATTCATAAGAGCAGCATGAAAATTCAAGAGATTTTAAAAGGAAACTGATCACAAATGCAATATTTGAGAGATCAAATGCATGACATTACGGCTCGCATTCAAAATTATGTCATACGGTAGATCAACCCATTAGAAGGCCACCAATACATGGGAATGTGAAACGCCACCACAATAGGAATGCTGAGGAAAATCCATCTAGATGAAACTGCAGCACCTACTTAAGGAGCTTAACTTGAATAAATTCTTAATTGGTTAGTACTGATAGATAATTTTTTTTAATAGCACGAGAGCCACAATAGGAATGCTGAGGAAAATCCATCTAGACGAAACTGCAGCACCTACTTAAGAAGGAGCTTAACTTGAATAAATTCTTAATTGGCTAGTACTGATAGATAATTTTTTTTAATAGCACGAG